AATTTTGACTGGATTCAACAATAAATCATATACAAATATTGCACGATCACAATTTATTGGAAAGTAATTTTTAGACATCTTCTCTTCCTATTAAATTTTAGAGACGCATAACATATTCCTTAAAATCTTCATCAGAAACAGCAGAAAAATATTCAATAGCCTAATTTAAATAATGATTACTTATTAATAAGAGTTCATAAGAGAGTTCAGATTCTATGTGGTTAATTCTTATTCAAGCTATTTCTCATAATTAATGACTTAATCAAGAAGTTTTTAAATTTCAAAATTTTCAAACTTTTATAATGTTACCTCTTCTTCTAAAATTTTTTTTCCCGATGAACCTGTTTTATAGAGAAGAATAGAATCCATAAATTGATCTATATTTTAAAGTATTAATGTTTATGATCTAAAATTGTCATCTGATTTCCATGTTAATTAGGCACTATTGTCTACTTTATCAACTTTAACTAAATCTTTTGTAGGTTAATAGCTTTATAGAAATAACATTTTATTTTTAGATTCCAACATCAAAATATGACTATTGCTTAATTATATTATTTTTTAATAAGATCTTCCATTAATTATTTCTTTGCATTAAAAGAATTCAACATCCTCCAAACCTAATTATCCTTCATATTCCTAATCTTGATTGTATTTGCCTAAAGATAATAAATAGTCTCTATTATCTTTCTAAAGTCTAACTTAATCCTAATTATAGAAGATTTATATATTTACTAGAAATTTCGGAAACTTTTGAATAATTTCATTTAATAAAATAGATGGGCTCCATTATTGGTGTATTACATCTTCAATATAATCTCTTCCATCAGCTAAAGTTGGTTTAGTTAACTAATTTAGATATTTTAATTTGTACATGACTAAGGATATGAACTTTTGGAAATACAAAAGGGAATTTATTATCAAGATATAAGCAAAATTTAATAGGTTTGCCTTAATTTAATTATACAACTGGTCGCATTTCAACCTAAATTGTTGATTAATGAGTACAATTATTTGTAAATTATTAGATAATTGTTTCAGAGTAATTGTGAATTCATTTACATCTAGAATCTCTAATTATTTTAATTCTAGACATATAATTATGTAATACCCTTTCGAATTCTTTTTATTTAGATTTCATTTTTGAAGATATTCACAATTTAGTTATCTAGGTTGTCCATTAATAAATAAATAAATAATATAATAAAGCAATAGTTATTTTAAGATCAAAAATTGAAAGTAATCTTCTTTTCCAATTTGAATATTTAGTAATACAATTATAATTCTCATAAACTTTTATATTAAAACTCCCCTTCTTTAGATGTGAATATTTTCAAATTATAATATTTTATAAATAGTTATGGATTTCGACACCAATGACTATCTAAGGGTGAGAGATATTCAATTATAAGAACCGATTTCTCGTCAGAAGATAGGGCAGCTTGAGATTCTGATATATTGGATCTTTATGGTTTGTTATTAATAGCATTTTAGATTTCTGAGAAAAACAACCTTAACACTAAAACAATAGAATTGGCTGTAATACTTATAAAGATTTATGTTTCAAAAAATTAAATACAACCAGATAATTTATAATTATTGGGACTAGCTTCATTAATGATTGCAATTAAAGTAAACTAGTTTTAATATCAAAAATAAGTTTAATGAATGCCAAACCTAAATAAATATGAATTTAGACAATTTTGTATCATAATCTAACTTTGAATTTAGTTCTAAGTTAATATTAGAAATGGAAATGAGTATTTTATCACTTGTGGAATATGATGTAAATATTACCACAATAACTGACTATTACAATGGATTAGCTGTAGATTCTGATCTTATTTTGTTTGTCACTCTTGATTCAGACTTCCTTTACTATCAAAAGTACGAATTGTTTGAAGCTATAACAAATTATTATTCTTAAGATACATAAAACTTACCAACAAAAGTTAAAAATGTAACAATTCAAAAAAAAAGTAGATCATCTATAAAATAAATCAGAAAATAAACCATTTGACATAAACTGAAAACATTGAAACTCCAAAAATACGAAGGAGAAAGATTTTCAAAAGAAAATTCAGAAGTGTAAAATAATAAAAGAATTCAGGTATTTTGCAGTGAAAACGTGATTTCAATAATAATTTATGATTATAAACAACATATAGATAATCATTAAAAGTCTTCCTTTACTTTTAAATACAAAATTTATTTATGCTAGTAATCTAATTTTGAAAATTTGGTATAATTTAAGTGTAATTTGTCAATAAAGATAAAAAATATATTTAAAAAAATTATAATTCTAACTATTTTATGGCTTCTTTCTGTTTGATAGTCATAAATAGGTACAAGTATAATAAAGAAAATCATTCCTAATGATAAATAAATACAATTATTCCTAAAAATATTAAAAATATATGTCTCAAATGCTGATGAATATTTGAATTAAAATCTTTTATTTAATTAAAAACAAATGGTTGTCAAATCACTTGCTCATAAGAGAATTGTTCACAAGAGAACAAAAAGATTTGTTAGATTTGAATCAGAGGACTACCCTCATAAATTAAGACCAAGTTGGAGAAGACCAAGAGGTATTGATAATAGAGTCAGAAGAAGATTTAGAGGAAATAGACCTATGCCTAAAGCTGGTTATAGAGGTGATAAGAAGACAAGGTATTACAAATTAATTTTATCTTAGATATTTGGATTAAACTGGTTTTAGAAAATTGCTAATCACTAATGAAAAAGATCTTGAATTATTACTAACAAATAATAGAACATTTGCAGGTGAATTAGCTCACAATCTTTCTGCCAGAAAAAGGGCAACCCTTGTAAGAAGAGCAGCCGAACTTAATGTTAGATTAACAAATGGAAAAGGTAAAATAAGAGCAGAAGAAAAGAAGGAATGATGAATTTAATTGGTTTAATAACTAAATCCATCTGTTTATCTGCATTCATCTATTAATAAGATTAGTTAGCAATAATTATTAATCTTAAATAACAATTATTAAATTATAGTTGTTATTATTTTGAAGCTTTCTTTATTCTTATTAACCTTATAGTAGTATTAATAGCTATTTATTATTTTTATTTCTTTTTTTTAGACCATCGATTTCATTTTAATATTGTATTTTACTAAAATAAATTTGAAGTACTATCAAAACATCTTTATAAACTCAATATATATTTAAGCATTACTTCAAAAATATTTTTTTAGATTCTACTTTGAAATTATAGCTCCATTAATATAATTTCTGGTTATTAGATTATTTAATAATCATGATAATTGAAGATCTTTATCAATTATAATGAGGTTTATCTTTTATAATATGTATTTAAAAAGTAAAATTTTTGTTTATTCTCTTCAAATTATCTTTAATATTCATTCTCTGTATGAATAAGCTATTCATAGTATTAAAATAGAATTAAATGAATATTGTATGTTAAAGACTTCGAGATTAATTCTTCTTATTTAGAATTTAGTTATAATTGCAATTTATAAATATTTAATATTAAAAATGGAAAGTAAATTAAACTTGGTTAAGACTTTGCTTAATTCCATAGTAACAAGATGGAAATTGTTAGAAAAGTTAGACATGAATGCTAAGGGAATATTTGAAGATTTAATAAATATGCAAGATTAAATGATGTAAATATCTACAATAAACTGAAGGGCAATAAAAAAGTAAAAATATGACGATAATTTATATTTTGCCGAAATAGATGATTTAGCATAATTAAAAATATCAATAGAAAAAGAATTGTTATTTATATAATTGTGTAATAATAACAATGAATATGTAAACCATAAATGAAAAATTAGTTTGAAATTATTGAAAAAATTTAAGAAACATTTTAAAATTTGAATAAAATCTTGTAAGATTAAAAATTTCCTAGCTCAAAGGCAGGTTAGTTATGCATCATTTTAGATAGAATGTAAATTAAAAAATTTAAATAGCTAAATTTTAATTAACCAACTCAAATAAAATCATAAAATTAGATCAACAATCAAGGATCACAATAATTATAGATATGCTTTATTAAATTACTTATATAAACCAATAGTTGATGATTTTTCTCCAATCCTTGATATTCTAGTATAGTTTTGAAATTAAAATAGAAATATAAATCTATAAAGTCTTAATTTATGCTATTAAATGATATTTTTTTTAATAAAAATTATATAAATAGAATATTTTGCTTATTTATAAGAACTAAAATGAATTTTTCTGTATCATGTTTGACTTAATCAATTATTTCATTATTGAAAATGTGCATATGCTATTAATGAGAATGATTGAATTAATCTTATCCTTTAAGAAACAAAAATACTTGCCATTCAATATTCTTATAGAATTTGATAACATATTATAATTTAATGATGAAAATCTTGGATTTAAGTTAGAAATTATTTTGCTAGAATAAATATATTAATTCTTCTATGAACTCCATTTATTCAATCAAATTAAAGAAAAATTTTGCTTAAATAATTATTTTAATAAATATAATTTCAACTTAAAAGGCTACAAACAATTAAATTTTATTATAGTTTTACATATAAAAGCTAATAATACAATAATTTATTAAAATTCTTTTTACTCAATTCATTTTTTTTAGATTGTTCTTTTTAAAATCCATTCTTTTTAAGCCATTTTATATCTAAACTAATTAAATAAAAAGAGTTGAAACTATAAATATTGTTATAAAATTTATTTCAAAATTACTATTTATATTTTCTCAATATGATTTGCTATGTAGATTGTAATACTTCTTGTGAAGCCTTATAGAAATTTGTAATCATTCTTTACAATTTTATTTTTGAATACCTTTCTTTTGATCATAACTAATATTTGAGTATTAAATTCAAATATCAATAGTGAGATTTGAATATATTACTTAAAAGAAATCCTTTGGCTAAAAAAATAGTAAACTAAAATTATCTTTAAAAATTAAAATTTATATTGTTAAAAACAAAAGACTTAATTAAAACTAAAAATGAATCAAATTTAAAAACTGTGTTCAATCTATGTTTTTGATTCCGATTCAATCATTGGATGTTTTAATTTACTGTGGAGATTTAAGGATGCCTCTGATCCATATGATTTTTCACACTAAGTACATTTATATATTTTAGAAATTTCATTTGCTTTTCTTCTCTATTTCTTTTAAGGTTGAATTAATTATTAATTCAATAAACTATTTTTATCTTTTATAAACTGAATTTGTTATTGTAAGACTTAATTAAATAAAAATATTTTTCTTGATTCTAAAAGATAATTCAACTTTGAATCATAGTTGGGACATTCTATAATAGATACAAAAATATACAAGAGACGGCACTGCCTAATATAGAGAAAATTTGATTGGGATTTTGATCGTTCAATTAATTCATACCCGAAATAAATAATTTAAATTTTAATTTTATTTATGCAATATAAATTAATGATTAGTGATTAATTAATTTTAGAATACATATTTTTAATGAGAAAAAATTATATTGTTATTGATGATCGTGAAAGATCTCGTTCTAAAGAAAAACATGTCAAATAAATTTAAGTAATAGATTTAGAAGAATCCTGTTATTCTTTAGAAAAAGGTGATATAATAGGGGGAAAGTATAAATATTTGGAGAGAATTAATGAAGGAACCTTTGGAAGAGTAATTAAAGTAAGAGACGTTTAATCAAATAGCTAGCGGGCTTTGAAAGTAAACATGATTCTCTAAATAGATCATAAAAAACTCATTTCATAATTACGAAAAGGAATACTAAGCAGTATAATTTTTAAATTTATTCCCTAAATTAATTGACCATCCTGGTAGACATCATATAGTAAAAGTGTATGATTTTTTTTATCACAAATAATGTCAATGCATTCTCATGGAGGCTCTAGGTCCCTCTCTATATGAGTCCTTAGTAAAAAAAAGATTTACATAATAATAAATCAAATCTATCATTTAGCAATTGTTAAATGCAATTGACTATATGCATGAGCTATAATATCTTCACACTGATATTAAATTAGAAAATATTCTTTTCAAATCCTAATTCGATGAAGTTAATGTTAAAATAATTGACTTTGGAAATGTTGTCTTTGGCAGATAGTTCTATAGAGGACTAGTCAATACGGAAGAATATAGAGCACCTGAAGTAATATTAGGACTTGAATGGAACTCTAAGCAAGATATTTGGTGTCTTGGATGTTTAATGCATGAAATGTTTTTCCAAAAAGAGCTGTTTGGCAAATTAAAAAATAATAACCAAAAGCATCTATTGATGATTGAATATTTAAATGGTCCATTCCCATAATGGATGATCTAAGATTCGAAATTCTTTTCTAAAGGAAGAGTAATCTCAGATTAACTAATGAGACAAGGAATTTCTTTTTCTCATCTTTCAGATATTAATATTCACTCTTCATTCATTGAATTATTAAGGTGGATGTTGAAAACTGATCCAAAAGAAAGACCTTCTGCTAAGGAATTACTGAGACATAATTTTTTTAAAATATGAAACTATTTTATTAAAACAATACTTAAAAATATTAAATGAAAAAATATTCTATAATATCAAAAACATTAGAGATTTTATCTAATTAAATATGAAAAAAAAAATATCTAAAGAAAGTTATTTTAATTTAAGACACCAATTTATGATTATTTCTTAACTTATTATTTTATTGTAAAGCCAATATGAATAAAAAGGATCTTTAATTAACCGATAAATGGTTGCATTCAAAAAATATATAATATACAATTAATTCATCTTTTAAATTTATTCAACTCCTCTTTTAATTTATCTTCGAGCCATTTTGACCACTAATCATATATTAAATATTACTTTATGAAAAGGTACACCTTAATTTACAACTTCAGAGTAATAAGATTTTAGTTTCACATCAAATGCATTTTAATGATTTGAATTCATCTGAACTGATTGAGAAGTCTAATTTAACAAATAGATATACTAAATGAAAGAACTACTCATATATCAATGTCTTATTTTAAGATGAAATTGAAGATGAACGAGTAGATGGTTATTAAACTTTGTCAAGTTCAATGCATAACTCATCTATTTTATCTTACATTTTATGTAATTCATCTTAGAGTATATTTTCGATTTATTTTAATTAAGAACATATTGATCTATTTTATATATATATATTATTACTGTAGTTTTTCTTTATCTTAAGTTAAAGAATGTATCTAAGTTTATTGACTTAAATTAATTTATTTAAGTTTTTCTATTTATTTATTCAAAATTGATTCGTACACTTTCTGATGATCATCTTATTATTCAATTTGTAATTTTAGAGCATGAATTTCTTATTATAATATTTAGATTTACTATTCCTGATTTTATATAAAAGTATTATTTTTTAATTATTCTAATTAAGTGTTTTGCTATTCTATAAGTTTTTCTAGAGATTAAATAGATTGATGTTATTATTATAATATCTTTTCTTTTTACTATTCTTCTATTTTTAGCTATTCAATTTGATGTAAATTCTAAAAATTAGCTTATTCAAACTCTTATTTAAGCTAAATAGTTTTTAATTCTAACTCTTAAATAATAGCTTATTATGTTTCTATTTACTGATTTTTTTCTAATAAATGATGAACTCCTTTTTCAATTTCTAATTTAATTATTTCTATTTCCTTTAATTTTAAAGCTTCTTTTTCTTTTAATTCTTCTTGAAGTCCATTATTTTTTTATTCTAACTCTTAAATAATAGCTTATTATGTTTCTATTTACTGATTTTTTTCTAATAAATGATGAACTCCTTTTTCAATTTCTACTTTAATTAACTCTACTTCTTATTATTTTTATAAATCTTTTTATTTCAATTCTTCTTGAAGTCCATTATTTTTTTATTCTAACTCTTAAATAATAGCTTATTATGTTTCTATTTACTGATTTTTTTCTAATAAATGATGAACTCCTTTTTCAATTTCTACTTTAATTAACTCTACTTCTTATTATTTTTATAAATCTTTTTATTTCAATTCTTCTTGAAGTCCATTATTTTTTTATTCTAACTCTTAAATAATAGCTTATTATGTTTCTATTTACTGATTTTTTTCTAATAAATGATGAACTCCTTTTTCAATTTCTACTTTAATTAACTCTACTTCTTATTATTTTTATAAATCTTTTTATTTCAATTCTTCTTGAAGTCCATTATTTTTTTATTCTAACTCTTAAATAATAGCTTATTATGTTTCTATTTACTGATTTTTTTCTAATAAATGATGAACTCCTTTTTCAATTTCTACTTTAATTAACTCTACTTCTTATTATTTTTATAAATCTTTTTATTTCAATTCTTCTTGAAGTCCATTATTTTTTTATTCTAACTCTTAAATAATAGCTTATTATGTTTCTATTTACTGATTTTTTTCTAATAAATGATGAACTCCTTTTTCAATTTCTACTTTAATTAACTCTACTTCTTATTATTTTTATAAATCTTTTTATTTCAATTCTTCTTGAAGTCCATTATTTTTTTATTCTAACTCTTAAATAATAGCTTATTATGTTTCTATTTACTGATTTTTTTCTAATAAATGATGAACTCCTTTTTCAATTTCTACTTTAATTAACTCTACTTCTTATTATTTTTATAAATCTTTTTATTTCAATTCTTCTTGAAGTCCATTATTTTTTTATTCTAACTCTTAAATAATAGCTTATTATGTTTCTATTTACTGATTTTTTTCTAATAAATGATGAACTCCTTTTTCAATTTCTACTTTAATTAACTCTACTTCTTATTATTTTTATAAATCTTTTTATTTCAATTCTTCTTGAAGTCCATTATTTTTTTATTCTAACTCTTAAATAATAGCTTATTATGTTTCTATTTACTGATTTTTTTCTAATAAATGATGAACTCCTTTTTCAATTTCTACTTTAATTAACTCTACTTCTTATTATTTTTATAAATCTTTTTATTTCAATTCTTCTTGAAGTCCATTATTTTTTTATTCTAACTCTTAAATAATAGCTTATTATGTTTCTATTTACTGATTTTTTTCTAATAAATGATGAACTCCTTTTTCAATTTCTACTTTAATTAACTCTACTTCTTATTATTTTTATAAATCTTTTTATTTCAATTCTTCTTGAAGTCCATTATTTTTTTATTCTAACTCTTAAATAATAGCTTATTATGTTTCTATTTACTGATTTTTTTCTAATAAATGATGAACTCCTTTTTCAATTTCTACTTTAATTAACTCTACTTCTTATTATTTTTATAAATCTTTTTATTTCAATTCTTCTTGAAGTCCATTATTTTTTTATTCTAACTCTTAAATAATAGCTTATTATGTTTCTATTTACTGATTTTTTTCTAATAAATGATGAACTCCTTTTTCAATTTCTACTTTAATTAACTCTACTTCTTATTATTTTTATAAATCTTTTTATTTCAATTCTTCTTGAAGTCCATTATTTTTTTATTCTAACTCTTAAATAATAGCTTATTATGTTTCTATTTACTGATTTTTTTCTAATAAATGATGAACTCCTTTTTCAATTTCTACTTTAATTAACTCTACTTCTTATTATTTTTATAAATCTTTTTATTTCAATTCTTCTTGAAGTCCATTATTTTTTTATTCTAACTCTTAAATAATAGCTTATTATGTTTCTATTTACTGATTTTTTTCTAATAAATGATGAACTCCTTTTTCAATTTCTACTTTAATTAACTCTACTTCTTATTATTTTTATAAATCTTTTTATTTCAATTCTTCTTGAAGTCCATTATTTTTTTATTCTAACTCTTAAATAATAGCTTATTATGTTTCTATTTACTGATTTTTTTCTAATAAATGATGAACTCCTTTTTCAATTTCTACTTTAATTAACTCTACTTCTTATTATTTTTATAAATCTTTTTATTTCAATTCTTCTTGAAGTCCATTATTTTTTTATTCTAACTCTTAAATAATAGCTTATTATGTTTCTATTTACTGATTTTTTTCTAATAAATGATGAACTCCTTTTTCAATTTCTACTTTAATTAACTCTACTTCTTATTATTTTTATAAATCTTTTTATTTCAATTCTTCTTGAAGTCCATTATTTTTTTATTCTAACTCTTAAATAATAGCTTATTATGTTTCTATTTACTGATTTTTTTCTAATAAATGATGAACTCCTTTTTCAATTTCTACTTTAATTAACTCTACTTCTTATTATTTTTATAAATCTTTTTATTTCAATTCTTCTTGAAGTCCATTATTTTTTTATTCTAACTCTTAAATAATAGCTTATTATGTTTCTATTTACTGATTTTTTTCTAATAAATGATGAACTCCTTTTTCAATTTCTACTTTAATTAACTCTACTTCTTATTATTTTTATAAATCTTTTTATTTCAATTCTTCTTGAAGTCCATTATTTTTTTATTCTAACTCTTAAATAATAGCTTATTATGTTTCTATTTACTGATTTTTTTCTAATAAATGATGAACTCCTTTTTCAATTTCTACTTTAATTAACTCTACTTCTTATTATTTTTATAAATCTTTTTATTTCAATTCTTCTTGAAGTCCATTATTTTTTTATTCTAACTCTTAAATAATAGCTTATTATGTTTCTATTTACTGATTTTTTTCTAATAAATGATGAACTCCTTTTTCAATTTCTACTTTAATTAACTCTACTTCTTATTATTTTTATAAATCTTTTTATTTCAATTCTTCTTGAAGTCCATTATTTTTTTATTCTAACTCTTAAATAATAGCTTATTATGTTTCTATTTACTGATTTTTTTCTAATAAATGATGAACTCCTTTTTCAATTTCTACTTTAATTAACTCTACTTCTTATTATTTTTATAAATCTTTTTATTTCAATTCTTCTTGAAGTCCATTATTTTTTTATTCTAACTCTTAAATAATAGCTTATTATGTTTCTATTTACTGATTTTTTTCTAATAAATGATGAACTCCTTTTTCAATTTCTAATTTAATTATTTCTATTTCCTTTAATTTTAAAGCTTCTTTTTCTTTTAATTCTTCTTGAAGTCCAATATTTTTTTATTCTAACTCTTAAATAATAGCTTATTATGTTTCAATTTATTCATTTTTTAAATAATTATCATTACTTTATAACTCCATTTAATTTTATATTATTTTCTCCTCTTGTTATTTAAATATCTAATATTATTATATCTATTATTTTAATTAGTTGTTTGCTAATTCAAGCTCTTTTATTTATTCTTATAATTCAATTTTTAAATAATTTTACTAGTTTTCCATAATTGTATCATTTTAACTATCTTTTTGTTTATTTTTTTCTAATTGATTTATTATATCATAATTAATTAAAAGCTCCTATTTTATGATACTAATTTTATCTTCAAATATATTTTTATCATCCATTAAATTAACTATGTTTATTTTTTAAAGTATACTTTATTTTTAAGTAATTAATTCAACTTCCATTTATTCAAGTTATTTTTCTAATTATTAAATCTTTACAATATCATCTTTTATACTAATTAATTTTTTATTTTTACTTAATTATTATTCACTAATTTATTTTATTTACTCATTAATTTTATTATTCTCTTCAATAAGTTCTTCGTTCACAAAGCTAAATAAATATTTGTTATTACTGCAAATCCATATTTTATTTTTACATCTCCATAATCATATCATCGTATTCCTATTTTAACTTAATAATATCTTTGTCTATTTATTGCTAAGTTTCTACTCTTCCTAAATTAAGAGACAATCGTTTTTTCTAATTAAAATTAAAACTTACTAATTAATCATTTTCATTAATCACAGAAGACATTAATTTCATTTTTTATTGGTGTTAACCTTATATTTCATTCATTCTCTATTCTAATTACTCCTATTCAAGTTAAAATTTATTTTTTTCTATAATAGATCTAGGTTTTACCAGATTACAATTCTGTCAATCTTTTTTCCTATTACTTTTACTATAAAGTCATTTTTTTCTCTTTTATCTTAAAAACACTAATCTCTGACATTAATGTAATTATTTAAGCTTCACACTATTTCTTTTCATTCTCAACAATCTGCAATTAATTAGTTTTTGCTTCAAGATTACTCTTTAATTCAACAATCAATCTTTCTAACTCTTATTATTCATCATTTTCCTATTTTAATGTTTTTTTATCTGTTTAATCATCTTCGCTCTCTGAATTTTAAGATTTTACTGATGCTGCGCACTATTCTTTAAATTATTCAAGATCAAATTAACCAATATAATGACTTTAACTTCTTGAATGTAAAGTTTCTGATTTTAAAAGAACTGTGTTGCTCTTATTTCTTGTCATATAATTAATAGTTCTTTTCTTTTCCTTTTTTATAGAATCGTGTTAGGTTTATTACTATTCTATTGATGCATATTGCTGCTTTTCATTTTCTTTCATATAATCTACTTATATGATAAAAATTACTTTTAATTTCCAAATCTTTCAATTAAAGTTTATCATCTTAATCCTTTATTTTCGAGATTAATTTTCCTATTTATGTGTCTTTCTATTGAATTTCATTTTTTAACCGATTAATTAATTCCTCTAATTCTTGATTTTTTTTTCTAATCTATTGATTTATCTACTCATTATTTTAGATTGATGTAATGTATTCCTAAAGGTTGTTAAATTATTACTTTTAATTATGTATCCTTTTTTTCAAGTTCATTTACTATTTGAGTGTATTTTAATCTTCCTTTAGATAACTCATCTTCGATACGTTAAATTTAATCAAAAAGCTTTTCGTTTTGATCATTTTAGTTTTCATTAACATTCTAGAGATAAATAAATTATAACTTCTAATTCTTTAATATGTGACAAACATTATTCATACTCTTAATTCATTACCATGATTTTATGTTCATATTAGGAGATTTGATCTTCATTCTCAACTTTCATTGAATTTAATCTAGAGAATAGAATATCTAGTTTAATTCAATATATACTGATCAAATGTAAAATTTCTTTTATTACATCTTCCTTTTCTTAAATTCCAATCATCAAGATTTAATTATCTACTTTAGTTATATGATATACGGTTATTTCCGTCAAATTTTTAGTGATATTCCATAGTATTTAAGAAACTATCAGACTGCTCCTCGCTAATTTTTAGTATTATTTTGTAAATCTAATCTTCTGTCCATTCCTCCATTAATAATAAATTTAATATTATAATAATTATTCAATCAATATTGCTTATTACTATAAGAAAAAAAATAAAAATGATAATATTGAGGGAAAATATTAATATGAAGATGAAACACTTGAATATTAGCATAATATAGATTATAGATTATTGTATATTATAATTTCTAAATTTAAGCTTACACCAAATAGATACTACTCTATTGTTTATTTGCTTTCCTTTATTGAATAAATATTGATTTTTGTATTTGTTTTAAAATTTTGAAGCTAACATTCTATATATTTAAAGTTTATGGAAACAAAAATAAAAGCAATAAATCTGAACATTTTAACTCATTTCGATTAGATAAGTATCATTAATGATATCTTTTTGCATTCTCATTATAACCATTTAGAATTTTTATTAAAAAGAAAAATAAATTGAAAATTCATATATTTTTTTCTGATTAAAATTTTTAATATTTTGAATTAATTATTAATTTTCAATTCTTAAAATTAAAGAGCACATTTGTTATTATACATTTTTTATACTGAAAGCTCACTATTTTATTAATTGTTAAATCGAGCTATTTAAACTAATTAAAAACAAAAAATTTACTAAGTGAATAGAATAGGAAATTTTTCTTTTGTGCATTGTTCATAGGCAAAATCATTTCTACTTATTTTTCATATATATATAAATATATATATAATATAATAAATTTCATTTTAATCAAATTTCTTTAAAAGCTAATTAATCAAGGTAGTTTATATTATTAATAATGAAATCTATTCAAATTTATAGAGTAACTTAAATCCATTTATTCTATTATTGGAGCAGAAAGATTCTTAATTAAATTTTTATTGCTATTTAATAAATAAACTTTAATCAATAAAATGCAATAGGAATTAGCAGAGCTTAAAAGTCTTATAATTTAGACTTTAGAAGCCAATGGTTAATTGGCAAAGATTAGGGCATCGATTAGAGCTTCAGTTTTTAATGTCGTTGATTCCCAAGACAATCATGAAAAAATCTCTCCTTTTTTTAGCGAAAATAAAAAAATTCAGTCAATAAAAGAGTTAGAAACAGGCAGAGAATTGCTCGAACTTATAAAGGAATTTCTTAAATTTTATGAAATGAGTTACACAAATTCTATTTTCTCAAGGTATTGATATAAAAAACAAATTTAGCGAAGCTAATCTTAGGGAAGAAATTAATAGAGATACTATTTCTAAACGATTACATATCAATATAGAGGACAAAAATAAACCACTACTTCATTATATATTAATCCAAGCTTAAAAAAATTAAAAGTTGCAATAATCATAAAGCACAAAAACTTTTAGTAGTATTATATCAAGTTAAGAAATGTTTTCCCCTCAAAAAAGTATTTCTTCTTAAATGTCCAAAAGTAAACCCTTGATTGGTGTTTCACAACAAGAATTTCTAAAAAAATAAAAGGAACAATATAATCTATTATAAGAGTAAGAAAATAAAAGGAGATAGAAGGAGGTTTTGAAGAAACAAAAAGAAGAACTCTAGCATCAAGAAGAAATAAAAAATTTTAAATTAAAAAAAGAAAAAGAAGAGAATTAATTGTAAGAGGAGAAACTTAAACTAGAAAAGTAAAAATTGGAATAGATTAAAATGAATTAGGAATTAAAATAAAAAAGCTTGGAAATTGAACTTTAAAGATAGGAACAATTAAATTAGGAATCTGAATTAAAACAATAATAGCTAGACTTATAGAAATAATTAATTGAATAATAATAATTGGCAAAAGAAATTTAAGAAAATAAATTAAAATAATAATTTGAAGAAACACAAAAGGAGGAGTAAAAAAAATTATTAAATATATAGCAAAATTTAAATGAAACGGAACAAAAATTAAATATGATACTTGAGGAGAAAACTAAAATTTCAGATGAACTCAATTAAATTAAAAAATAAATATTAGTAGAAAACAATAAATTAAATCAATTAATTGAGAAAAATTAATTAGAAGAAGTAAATTTAGAAAAATTAAAACAACAACTTACTATTCAATAAGAAAATAAATAAAAAATAGAAAATGATTAGAATACTATCAAATAAGAAGTAATACAATCATAAAATGAAAAAAAGACAATTTAAGATTAAATTGAAAAGTTAAGATAATAGTTAAAAGAAGAGGAATAAAATTTATAGATATTTAAATAAAATAAAACTTAGGAGGTCTAAGAATTAGAAGAAAAGTTCAAATAGTTTTAATTTGACAAAAATGAATTGGACAAAAAGTTAAGTTAACTAAATATTTAACAAAAAGAGTTGTAGTCATAAATTGAACTAGAAAATAAATTAAAAATAGAAATTTCGCAAGCATAAGAGAAATTTGAAATTAAAAAAGAAACAATATCAAATTAAATTTAGGAATTATAAAAAGAAAATTAAGATTTGAAAGAAGAAAGGAAAATGCTGTTATTATAAATAAAGGATCTTGAAAATTAATTGAAAGAAGCATAAATTGAAATTGATTTTTTCAAGAACAAAGAATTAATGGGAGACTGTGTAACATCAGAAATAGAAACTTTTTAATCTACATTAAAATAAGTATTGATTTTTTTTATCTTAGGGAGCCAGCGAAGTAGAAGCAAAAGCAGCTATTGAGCAAAATTTGGAAACTAAAGGGTAAAAAAGAGAGTATAATGACGATTATGATGTGCAATTTGATCATTAATTCAATTTTTTAGATTGAAGTTGATTTTATTTCAGATAAATATTGTTATAATTATATTATTATACTCAATTTAGAAGTTTAGATTATTATGGAGAAGTTTTTGATATATTTTCTCATGGTTTATTATATAAATTATAATCAAATAATGTCTTAAATTTCATTAAAGTGGGAGATTCAACGTTTATAAGGAACATTACCAAATAAAATTACAAATCCTTGCACATTTTATGAGGATAATTTATATTTAATAGTTGATAACTACAAATAGAATGATTTGTATAGTTTAAGTCTAATTGATTTCAAATGGCGGAGATTATATAATGGAATTCCATTTAAGGCAAGGTGAAAATTGAATATGAACAATAGATATAATAGTTAATTTGTAATGAATTCAGGAAAAATATATTGTTATGGAGGAAGCATAGATATCGAGGGGACGATTTTACTTGATGATTTTTTGGAAATTGATGTTGTACAATTGAAATTCCGTTAAATAAAAAGCGCTCCAACAGGAAGAGTTGAACACAGTATGTGCATGTATAGAGGTTAAATATTAATAATTGGAGGAAGGACTTAAAAGAAAATTTTTAATGATTGTAAAACGTACACAATAGGAAGTGATAAGTAAAAAAAAAAGTGTATTTTATTAGATGGAATTAAATTGAATTTGAGCCTGCACATAGATTTGGTCATTAATGTACGGTTTATGAAGACACTATAATTGTAACTGGAGGAAGTGATGGATAAATAATATTAGATGATGTCTGGTTATTAGTTGATTTAAGAACTTGGATAAGATTGGATATAAAAAATCCTTTACCTATATTCAGACATTAAGCAGCATTAGCCATGAAAGAGTATTTAATAATTTTTGGAGGGTGTACATTTGATGGAAAAAGATGCAATGATAATTTCTATGCTTTAAATATAGTCACATTAAAATGGATTGAGCTACCTAAATTAAGTAGACATCCATACCCTCGTGTACAACATACAATGCTCTGTTTGTTACATTAATCTCGAGAAGATATTCTAATTATTGGTGGATTAAATTATTAAGATCTCTCAATTCTTAATTTTTCTCAAGTAAATATTAAGTTTTAGATTAAGTTAAGATGGCCAACTTGGTCGATTTATAACCTCAATCATCATTAATGAGTTATCGAAGTCATACAGTAGAGAGAGAAGAATTTTTGTAGGATATTCCATTAGAAGTCTAAAATATAGAAGAAGGAACTTCATTTTTGGAATTAGGAAAATATTATGAGTGGAAGATAGAAACTAACTAAGAAATGTAAACGTATAAATGAAATTTAGAAAGTTTACTCCTAGAACAGGTCACTCAGTAGTACAATGTTAAGAAAATCTCTATTTATTTTGTGGATCTGATGACACTACTATAGTAAATGATATGCATTGTTATAATATATTCAAGAAATAATGGGAATAAATTGCACCAAAAGGAATAGCTCCATCTCCAAGATCAGGTTGTAAAGGAGTTGCTCATTAACATGACATTTATTATTTTGGAGGTTATACTAATAGAAGAGGAGAATATTTTAATGATTTATATATTTTCGATACAAAATTAAGATAATGGAATTAAATCAGAACAACAAGAGAAATTTAACCAAGAGTTGATATGTCTCTTGTAATAAATAATGAAAAATTGTATGTTTTTGGAGGAGCAGATGGTAGTAATAGATTTAATGACTTACATTGCTTTGATATTCAAAATAATTAATGGGTTAAGTTGTAAACTCATGGATAAATCCCAACACCAAGATTTGGTCATACAGCAGAAGTATATAAAAACTAAATGTATGTTTTTGGTGGTTGGGATGGCTTTAAGACCTTAGATGAACTTGTACAATAATTATTAAAATATAGTACACCTATTCATTTGCATCAAACTATTGGTATTTGGAAAAAGTTAGAAATAAACCTCCTTCTCGGTATAGGCATAGCAGCACCATAATTGGATATAGTAT